AAGGCTGCTTGGAGAATGGCTCCTCTCCAGGGCCCGGAGTTTCCTTGACAACTGTGCGCGTCGTTAATGCCAGAGTTGCCAAGTTGGATGCATCCGGAGAAGGAGTTCGGGATTTTTGCAGCTTTTTGTAGACCCCCAGCTTCCTCTTGAGCTGCTTCAGCTCCACCGACGTCTTCCCTGGGGAACGGGTAGTTGCTGTGGGCTGGTGTCGGGAGAGGACGTTGACTCCGTGGAAAGGTCGGCTTCTTTCCACACTCCTTAATATGGTACCCACGTTTTCCGGTACCGGTACGATCTCCACAATTTTCTGCTTCTTCTGGAGTCCCTCCCGAAATTTCTTCAAGGCTCTAGCCCCTCGAGAATAACAAGTTTTCATTCAAGCATCTTTATAGGACAGCTTTAACGAATCCTTATAATTTCTTGGGTCTTCAAGGAGTTTCCCCGTCTCGGCAGAGTCCTTTTTCGCGGAGTCAGATTTTTTCTCAGCGATTTTCCGTGGCGAAGACTGGTCGTGGGGTGGAGATTTTCCCCCATCATTTCCTCCTGTTCGCGTCGAATCGGCTGTGTCGAAGTTGATTTTTCCGGAATCCCGCGGCCGCTTTCGGATATTTTCTTTTTCGCCAGCTAGATCCGCAATCACTGGCGAGTCCCGTTTTTGGGTTTCTGGTTGGTCAAAGGATTTCCGCCACTGTTGTGTGCCCGATACTCTGTGCGTGTGGCTTTCATTTTGTTGCAGTCGAAGATTCGACGACGAGGCACCTCACAAAAATCTCACGTGTAGTTGGTGTTTTTCGGACGTGGCCGCCCTTCGAACCCGTCGACTTCCATCGGGTCGGCGAAGATGGGGTGAGCCGAGCGATCGCCCTGTCGCGTACTGCCGACGTGCGTCCGTCGTGTCCCGGTGTTGACCATGTCGAAGCGCTCCGCTGCCGAAACGACGTCACTGTAGCTCGTGTAGTTTGACGCTACTACTTGGCGTTTGACTTCGATCTTCAGCCCGGCGAGGTACGATTGTACTTTTTCCCCTTCGGTCAGGTCGGGAATTCGGTTTGAAAATTCCTCCATCTGCTGCGTGTACTGCGTTACACTCTCAAACTGTCGATGGCGATGAATTTTTTCCCGGGCAAGGAAACCGGAATTTATCGGCTCGAAGCGTTTCAGCAAGTCAGCGCGGAACTGCTGCCACGTGGCTTCACCGTGGATAAAGGTACTGTTGCCGCCAATCCACTCGAGTGCCAGTCCTCGCATCAGCGTCATCGCGAGTCGTACGCGTTGACCGTCCCAGACTGGCGAGCTCCATCCGACGGCTGCGAAGTAGATCTCCATCCCGGCGATCCATCTGCGGACGTCGGAGTTTCGATCGCTCGGATCGAACAGCTCAGGTGGGCGCGGTTTCGGAGCCTCGAGAAACTGCTGCGACTGCTGCGTCGTCGCCGTTGTCGTTTCGTGTTGCACGCCGGTGAGTCGAGTTACTCGCTCGAACTCGTTTCGCCAAGCTTCGCGGTCGGCTCGCATCTCCTCCTGTAGGGCGGTGATGCGTGCGAAGAACTGCTGGGTAACTTCGGCGTTGTCGAAGTTTGCCATCCTGTTCAAAACACGCACGGAGGGGGTAATTCGAAAATCGCGGAGCTGGTGCTTACCAGAATCGGCGTTGAATTGGTCGCCCCCGGCGGTTTTTCGAGGCAGGATCCCCCACTGCTGCTGGTTTGTCAAGTGTAACACGAACTGCTTTGTCAGAAACGGCGGGCATCGGCTGCTGTTGCCGATCGCGTTCGTAACCGAGTTGAACTTCGCGAACGTCATCCGGGTCAGCATCTGCAAGAGGAATAAATTCCGGTATGCCGGTCGACGTTACAGGTTCGGGAATGTCAGTTGCGGCAGTTCGGATGCTTCCATGCGTGATACTGTTTTTCGATGCCGAGGTGTACCCCTCATTTTGCTCGTTCGGAAATTTTGCCGAGTGCTGCAGTTGGAGGTTGAAACTGCACGACACACCCAAAAACTCGTAAAAGTTTGGTATTTCCCACTGTTCTTGTCCACTGCAGGTGCGGTGAAGAAAATTCGGGCAGTGACGTGGAAGACAGCAGGTTGTGTAACAGCACGGCGTGGTCCATCGCATACGGCCAAAAACGAGGTGGAAGGGCTCCTTGCGTCTGCAGAGCACGCATCTTCTCCTGCAGAGTTCTGTTCATCCTTTCCGCTACCCCCATCTGTTGGTGTGCATGCGGCAATGACTGCTTCCGTTTGATGACGAGTGTCTGGAGGTAGTCTGTGAAGGTATTGCTCGTGTATTCCCCTGCGCCATCACTCTGGAATTCTTGCAGTTTTACGCCAGACTCTCGTTCAGCGACAGCGAGCCATGGGACGAAGACGAAGTGAGCGAGATAACGAGCAGGAAGGTTTGCTGTCCAAACGTAGCGAGTAGATGCTTTGATGAAGGTTATTACATACTGCTCGTCTTTAGGTCTTGCTTCAGGTAAGTTAAGAATATCAGTGTAAACTTTCTGCATTAGTTTATAACGTGTGGAGCCTGGAAAATGACTTGGAAACGGATCGTGAGTAAGATTGGCGACCGGACACGTGGTGCAAACCGTCGGGCGAGACTGTGGCTTCATCTCCGTGCCGTCAGGTAAGAGAAGACTAGAAAATCAAGAACTGCTGCCCGGATTGAATGATTAAGAATCCCTTGTAATGGATGTCCTAACCGATGATGCCAGATGTCTTCGGTGGCTTTGTGTTCTGATGATCGCAAGTAAAAATCGGCGTTAGTATAAAACGAAGAAATGTAAAAGGGAGAATGCGCGGGAGACATGTCGAGCTCCCCTTCAGCGAAACGGGTAAGTGGTAACTGGACGTTCAATAGTTCTACTGCAGTTGCGATTGCAACTTCTTATGCTGCTTCTATTGATGTGGTGGCAGGTGTTCCTGCGATAGCTACTGTGAGGCTCGGCTGCTCGGCGACTTCTTCCTTTTCGGTTTCTTCAACGACGTCAGGTTCATCAGCTGCAAGTCCACTAATTTCTCCCCAGAGTGGAGCTGGAGTTCCTTGGAAGGCCGCACGGGTTGTATAAAACGTTCGCCAAGTATTGGCGCCTTTATCAGCTGTATTAAACTCACAAGTATCCAGTGCAGTAAGTACAGCAACTGCAGTTCGAAAAGCCGTTGGTACAGTAGTTGCCCAAAAATCAATATCCACGTGCTGATAATCTGTTTCTTCTGGGTGATCCCAGTGACCAAGTGCAAGGAAGCGTTCAGACTCACCAGAAGTGCCTTGTGCCGTAAATTGAAGAATTGACACGCCATGTTGAGTAGCAGCATGAACAAGGTCAGTATTCGTTGAACTGTGCCATAACTCCTGATCCGTCACTTCACAATTGCCCTGTGTGCGGATCTTGTGTGCCAGGAGCTGAGCCGTGGAAAGAAGATTGAATCCAAGGCCGGCGACGATAAGAACATTGGTAACGTGTAGTGAATAGCCCGTGTTGACCGATTCGAGCATTACACTCCCAACAGATCGTGCCATAATAGTTTGTCCGTTTGCGACTGTGACAGGTATCGGACGACAAAGTGGACGCTAGTTGGTGATGAAGCTTGTTTCAGTGGAGCACATGTGCCAACCGCAACAGCTGTCGGGATACCAAGTATTTGGACCTGAAATGATTCGAGCAGGGTGAGCGTAAACTTGCGGTAAGGGAATGCCTTCAGCATTTGTAGTTTCTTCAAGTCGTGTCTCGAAATCTGTTTCTGAGACATCAACTGTTGTAACACATCCAAAGACCCCTTTTCCTGATGTTGCACATGCAAAGACCGGAGGACGATGCTGTGACGACGAGGTATTCGGCGCGGTTTCGGCATATGCTGCGTCTGGGTCATTGACTGAGGTGTTTTCGGTAACTGCTGCGAATGGTGATACGGCTGTGAAGTGCTGCGACGGTTTTGATGGCGGCTGCGACAAGTTTGGTAAGTATGTCCTGGTTTGTAGCAGAAATGACAGAAGGGATACTTCGGGGGAAGTCGATGGTGTGATTTTGGATTTGAGTAAAGACTCAAGTGTATTCCCTTTTTCTGATTGCGTTGTGACTGCAGGTCCAGATCTTGCTGTTCGGCTTGAAGATACGAAGAAATCTCAGCTTCAGAGAGATTTGGATTCATGCGCAGGAAGGCGCGCGTCTCTCGTCATTCGGGTCCAAGACCAGCAAGAAGGACCGTGAGATACATCTCACGAGGGAAGTATCCCCCACTCTTCTCCAGTTAGTCACGTAGTTTATGGACGCGGTTGACGTAATCCATGACGTTCTCATTTGTCATCATCTGCACACTTGTCAACTGCGAAAGAATCTTACTCACTGTTATTGTATCTTTTGCCATGTATAGCCCCTTTGTGAGAGTACGACCCCGTTCCATCTTCTTCTCCTTTCCATATTCCCTTTTCATTCCATTCCTCTTTTTAATCTTGATCCATTTGGTTTTTACCCCATTCCATTTGGATTCCTATTTCTCCTTTTCCATAAACCTTTGGTTTCTCCTGTTATTATCATTATATCACCGACCAGGCTCGAGATGTACTGGTACGCTATATCTAGCGTAATCCTACCGTAATCCCTTAAAGCCAATAGCCTCGCATGGCTATACGTAGGGTGATTCTATTTTCTAGAAGGGTCTATTCCCTTGGGATAAGATAAACCTGGTTACCTGATGTACTTTGGAAGTATAAAAGCGCCTTGTACTGATCGATTGTGACACCCTTCAAGTGGTTCCATGCAGTTTCAGCTGGTGTAAAGCTTGAATAAAACGATCGGACACCGAGCTGCTCCTTCGGCAACAGGTTCCGAACTAGAACTGTATACGCCCCGAGAGAGGTGTGCAAGAAACTCTACTGCTCCAGTTGGGTTCCCACGACAGGATATGTAAACTCGCTGGTGAAGAACGGCCATAGCCCAGCGGACTGCGCCAGAAGCTCGAACTCGAAACTCCAGGAGTAAAAATCTACTCCGATAAAAGGCATGGTTGTCTTGATCTGTGTACTGTTAAGCAAATTTGGCGGTTGAAAAATAATACCCGGTTGTTGAGGCTGTTGCTGTTGCTGCTGATGTTGTTGTTGTTGTTGTTGCTGTTGCTGAAATTGTTGTGGCTGTTGATGCGGTTGTTGTTGTTGCTGTTGCTGAGCAGGGGGACGCCCGAAGATGTAAAAGGGATGCTGCTGCTGCTGTGACTGCGGCTGCTGCGCAAAAGGTGAGAAAGCAAACGAACCAGTACTTGGAGCTGTGGCTCCACGCATATAACTCGAGCCGTCAAGGCTCATTCCACTAAATGCCGATGTTATTGACTGTGTTGAAAAAGGTGGTTGTGCTGTTGACTGTGTTTGTTGTTGTTGCACTGCAGGTGCAGTCGATGAAACCTCTGGAGTACTGACAGAAGGCGGATTCTGCTGCTGCTGCTGTTGCATACCGATATGCGCATAAACCGGTGGAAACGGTCCAGAGGCTGAGAGACCAGTAGCGGTCGTGGAGACATGTACTCCAGTAGTTCCGAAAGTTGATCCAGTAGACGGTGCTGGTGATGAACCGGTCATTGTTGACAGTAGTCTTAATTCCAGATAGCTCTCATATCATGTAAGAATTTGTTAGGTGTTGCAGGAATCTAAGTATAGAATCTGCAGATACGAACACTTGGAAAACCTCAAGTGTTAGTCCAAGATCTTTACTGGAATGGTAGACTAGTAAGACAGCGGAAGTCTTGTAAAACTGAATCTGAGTATAGCTCTTGTAAAAGTCAAGGTTGAACAACCTGAGCTCATGAACTTGTGAATAATAAAAGTTAATAATGGAAAGGCATAACAAGGATTCATAGTTCTAGGAAAAGTACCTATTCGCTAATGTACCTGTTTGTCACTTATCGCGCTATGCGCCCTAAATGACAATGAAGAGGTACAACTGTTCGCGTGAATGAAACGACTGTCCTCATGACGAGTGCTATTTGCTGACGTCATCCTATGGACTTATATTCGACTGTAGGATTCGACACTATCTACACATAAGTGACTTACAGAACTGCTAAGTATGAATTATATCACAATAATATTTAGGGACATTCAAACAAAATTATAAACAAGAAATAACGAGCTCAAACGGCAACCACGGAGAACTCTGAGATGGCAATCTGCTAAATCATGAACCCAACCTGACATGTGACCACAGAACCAGGCCAAGATCAGGGCCAGGCCCTAAGATTGGTTTTGGGACCGTGCTAATTTTCTTCCTCTTCGCGAGATCCTCTATTTTCCCATAATATTTTGGGCCAGCAAACCCATTACCAAATCCTCTTCATGGGGCAGCATCATCCCCCGCCTTACATCTAGCTAAATCTCCTCTTCATCTAGCGTGACAGGTGCGCTCGGTTCCGACAGCACTCTACTCCCCATGCCCCACAACTTTTGGTTGTTTGTGCTCCGTTACCCTCTTCCATCCTCGCCCTCGGCTTAATCGAGCTCTTTAATAAGCCAGTCCACTACGAGCTTGTTGTACCTCATCTTCAGTGCCGAGACAACCCTGTGATATAATGGCTGAATACGGGACGTGCAGTTGGGGGGGAGGTAGACGACATAGACTGAGGGGATGTCAACAATCTTCATTCCCCTGAACTCGTGCTCTGTGCTGTCCTCAATCAGCCACCCCACATTGTGCATACTAGCATCGTCAACGAGCAGCACGGTGAGGCTAGGCAAGTCCCAAAGAGAGCGAAGAGTTGCTTGCAGAACTTAGAAGTGAAAAAAGAATTATGGTTGAGATGGTGGAATCCGGAACTTCGTGCAGTCGGACTACGTTATCTACGAATAGCATCGCGACTTTCTCAGCTATAACCTTGCAGTGCGTGGGAAAAGTGTGATGCTACAGAGAACCTGTTCACTACAACAAAGGTTGCTCCGTGACCCCTAACTATCTGTGGTTGAGATATGATGAGAACTATCATTGTTACTACTTACCAATGACGATCAGGTGGTGGAATCGGCTCTAGAAGCTCGTTTTATAGTATAGTAGCGAGAGGACTTAGTGCGCTGATACGTATCACATGAGCGAATGCAATCCTCCACATCACTTGCGAGCCCTAGCCAAAAGTACGTGCGATCAAGCGTCTTCATTATCATATTAGTACAGAAGTGACCTGCACTAACAACATCATGTTCCTCTAAAAGTAGGAGCTCTTGAAGAGAGCGGTAGGCTGGAACCCAAATCCGTGAGCAACCCTTCTTAATGTAGACACTACTCTGCACCTTTTCTCTTGCGGGCAGCTGTAGTGTAAAGTTTGGATCTACTGTGAATCCGTGCTCGAATAGTGCTGTGAGGAGAGGATAGCAATTCGTGACTGTAAGGCTACTGACTTGGCAAGAAGGGTGAGTGGGCGTATCTGTTGGGTTGCACACACTTGGCTTGTACTCTATCCTGTAGTTAAAACTACTCTCTATTAACTCCATCCATCTAGCCTGGTAACAAGTTAGCTGCAGCTGGAATTTAAGGTATCTTAGCGAGCGATGATCCGTGCATACGATATTATCAAGCCCCTCCAGGTAGCACCTCCATATATTGTACGCGTAAATTCTGTAATTGCTAGCGCTTCCTTCTCTTGAATCGGATAGCTCAGCTCAGCTCTCCACAGTTTACATGAATCGTACGCGATTGGCTGCAACCCTCGGCCGTGGTCCTGAAGAGGTACCGCTCCAATGGCCTGGTCTAATACGTCTGTCACTACTATATATGGACGAAAGGGATCGGGGTATGAGAGAGTTGGCTTAGATGTGAGAATGCTCAAATGTCCAAATGCTTGCTGCTGTAATGGACCCCAACGTAACTTAGTTCCCTTACAATTCAGCTCGGCGAGTGGACTAGTGATGGATGCACAACCGTGAATGAATCGACGGTAGTGATCCGCAACATGATTGCTCGAGAGTCGTCTTCTCTTCGTAGGTAAACTGGGCATGTACCGATGCATGCACACCAGCTAACAACCCGCTATATCTTTGCTACTACTCCTTAAGCTTAGCACAGTCCAGCTTCATGTGCCCCGATCTTTTACAGTAGTGACAATCACTCATAAACCTTGGTCTTTGTTAGTCGTCACTATTAACTTCACAAATATCCATATGCGATGGTCTATCCCTCGAGCTAGTATCGTTGATCTAATTCTTGTAACCCCTATCTTGATCGTTACGACTGCATCGGCTTTGTACCGCGTCGATGCGTTCTGCTGCTACAACTACTGCCTCGGAGATGGACAACCCGTGAATAACCATAACTTTCGTTATGCCCGTCCTTAACCTCTTGAGATAGCAGCCGCGCTTCTCTCCTTTGGTAATGTATTGCACATGCTCAAGAACTGTTGACTGTGCTCCTGGACATTTCATATCCGGCGGATGTAGACGCTTTCACGCAGATGCTGCACATATGCCCCTTTCACCCTGCTCGTGTTGAAGTAGTTGTTGAGCATGAAGTTCCAAGTTTGCATCGCAATGAAGGGTCGAACAACTTTGGCTTTTGCAGCTTGAGCGCGGATCGGCGCTCGAACACCACTTCCGTAGTAGTTGACGCGTTGGGTGCGGGAGTTGGTGCGGCGTGACCATGCGGCTTAGAAGAAGCCAATTCACGAAGATGTTGTGTTTTAGTCCGTACCTGACTTATTTCAAGCGTCTATGCCTCGAGTTCAGCACATGGTGATGATGGTGTAGTCTCGTCGTCCACGGTCACTCGTTGGAGGTCGCTCCCTTCTAAGCTCCGATTTCATGTATTAGGCCTCCTGGCTTAAATACGCTATATAATAGTAAATTGAGAAATATGCGCAGCGGAAGACATTAGCGAAATTGTTGTTGGTGAAGTATGCATGCAAGTACTAACAGAATGAATTGACTAGAATGAGGCAGTACAGGGGTTTATAGCCTGGTGGGTTGTACTCTCTAAGGCACACTCCTATATAGTCTACAACAACATATGCAAATATGTTTGACACACCCCCTAGACTGAATAGGGGCAGTGCCTGGTAAAAGACAAGCAGCTCAGGGTGGCACTACTAGTCCAACCTCTGAGGAAAGGGTCAAGAGACCAGTCACACACGTACAGACCAAGACAAGAACAAGACCAGGGTGGCACTACTAGTCTAGCCGCTGGGAAGAGGCCACAAGGCTAGTCGATGTAAGATATGTATGAAGGTTTGTACACAATCGAGGTCCTAGCAAGTGAGAGGCTACAGGAACAAGACCAAGCTGTAAGCAGTGCCGCTGATGATCTTTAGGCGCAAGCGCCTTCATAAAGATATCAGCTGTGTTGGCATCGGAGGCCAAGTGTACTATGCGAGCCTGGCGGCGCTGCTGTAGCTCGCACAGGAGAAAGTACCGCAGCTGCATGTGCTTCACTCTGCCCTCAAGTCTAGGCTCGTAATATAGGAGGATCATGGCCCTGTTGTCAGCGTACAGGTTCGTGGCAGATCTTGGCCGCTCACCTAAGTCAGTGAGCAAGAAGGTCAGCCAGCGGAGCTCCTGTGCCGCCATGGCACCGGTGTAGATCTCAGCCTCACAGCTGGACAGGGCAACAGACGAGGAACGAGTAGCCCTCCACAAGACAGCACCTGAACCAAGGCTAAAGCAGTAGCCCTACGAGGACCTAAGGGTCGCAGCGCCGTCTGCCCAAGAAGCGTCTGTGTGCCCAGTAAGAACCACTTGTCTGCATCCTCCTAGCACTAGCCCCATGCCCGATGTACTTGCTACATAACGCAAAACCCTCTTAGCAACCGACCAGTGCTGTAGTAAGTGTCTGCCTGTGCCCACAAAGCGAGCCAGGATGCTGAGTGGGTATGCGAGATTTGGACGGGTGCAAGTCATCAGGTACATGAGGCAACCCACCAACTCTGCGTAAGGACCACTGAGCTCTACTGACTCCTCATGAACTGGTAGACCTGCTCGTGTAGGCTGCTCTGGAGAAACGCGGTGGAGAAGTCGAGGGAGTGTGCTACTACATATAGCAGCGCCCGAAGAGTAGTCATCTTCGGGGTCCGGGCGAAGGTCACAAAGAAATCCACCCCCTCACGTTGATTGAAGCCTCTAGCCACATAGCGTGCCTTAAACACAAGCGGCTCTCCCGGGGGGCGCTTCACCCTGAAGAGCCGCTGGCCGTCGAC